TGACCACGGCGCCCATTGAACTGATAATCGATGACGCGCTAAGGATGCGCCAGAGTTGAGATATAAGATTTATTATGTGAAGTTGATTTGATAAAATTTTCTTTTATTTATGTAGCTGATGATAGTTTTACGTTTGTTTTATTCAAATATCAATAATAATTAAAAAAATAACACGTTTGCGTTTAATTTTGAATAGTTTTCAATAAATTTATGCCTAACGCATTACAACACTAGCGGTCAAACATAGACAACTTTGGCGTGCTGGACATGGACATAGTATTTGCTTAGATAAAAATCCTTTTTTTAGTTCAATGTTTCTTAGTACTTGTGGCTCTAGGAGACTGGTTTCTTATACTCACATGTTGCTGGGTTATTCTTTTTTGAGGAGTGTAGAACTAAAATACCAGTAATAATTTTCCAATATCTGTATTTCATATTTTTGTGACGAAACTATAGACGTCGTTGGCGCACAGGGCCCGCAGGCGCTGGTCAAATATAGGCGACTTTGGCGATCAAAAGGTTAACCTTGTGTATTATCTCAACAAAGTTTAAAGATTTCCTCTCCGATTATCATTTTAACACACTTCCATTCATCACAAGGAACACTATTATCCTCCATTTTCATTAAAAATCTTTAAAAAAGCATAAATTTTGAACTCGTCATATTAAATCGCTTAAGATAATCACACAGAGTAAATAAACATTGAAACGTGAAATGAACTTGCAAACGTATTGCCCGCGCGCCTCCGCTTTTAACATATTTATTCCCAAAAGCCTGGCTTTAAATCTCTATACTAATTGCTATATATACAATCGTAGTTATATTTCATTATAGAATATTTTGCCATAAGTTAGAAAGAGAGCGATCGTCTTCTCGAAAGCCCCGTAAAAAGCCCACGCGAGCGAGGGAGACAACTATTAGCTCTATTATAACTCATTTTTTATGACAGCAGCAGTATCGCTAAGGCAGTACGAGGTCATCGGTCGACATGTGTCTGGTTTGTTTTCAATGCGGGTACGGCAGTGGCCAATATCAGCCCTCTGTCACTCTTGCTACCTGCGTGAAATAATTACCGACAGTCGCGACGCACCCAGTGTAACATACGCAGTTGGCACTAGCGCATTGTAGGCGATTGAATGTTAGTTTTAACGCTGTTTACGTAGTTTTTTGGTACTTATAGTAAAAACGAACTAAGTAATCATTTACTAAAAGAATTAAGTATTCATTAAGAAATAATTAATGCCTACGTACTTTATTACAAAACTTAGTTGAAATTTACTTCACTATCCAAGCATCTAGTTACATACCTATACTTGTCTTTTTTAGTTTAAATATTTTGAGTTATTTAAACTTTGTTTACAAACAAGGTTTTTAACTAAGTAATACGATCACATTTCTGTTAGGAACTCTACCTACTCCAGGTTGATTTGTTGTTTACACTATTTCCCTATTTCTTCCGTGACAAGCATCGCGATTCCCGAGGAGTGGCCTTGCAAGTTGCATGCGTTGGGCATCGCAGAACTCACATAGATGCGAAAATATGGTCATTCGATCATAGTCAGAATACTTAGGGTACATCACCTAAGTACCTTAATTAACATTTCGCAATGTATTTTTTTACTCTTTATTGACAACCATTAGTAACCACGGAAAGTCCGCCGTGACTTAGGAAGGGGAAAGATGCAAAGTAATATGAACACTCGCGCGCGGCGATAAAGTTTTATTTAGCTTGCGTGCGCGATTTATCTAATTAGTAATAATTATGTAGGTATAGGCGGGCAGTCAACATCAAAGGAGTGGAACTTCTGTACGTAGTACTATTGTTTACTCTGTGCTTCTGGTATCAAGGTACTTGGAACGTTCCGTCTTTATCTTTAGGTTTGTTTGAGCCATCTAAACTAAGAATTTAATAATACCATAGAATACTATAATACATAATAGAACGGCGGAGTAGGCGGAGCCTAACTAACGGAACTAATAATGTAGGTTATTAAATGTCGGCAAGCAGTCAACATCAAAGGAGTGCAACTTCTGTACGTAGTACTATTGTTTATTCTGTGCCAATATGGAGGGTGAAGAATTTGACATAAAAGTAAATATCGTATTTTCTATGCTTATCTTGACATAAAAATTTAAAGAAATCGAGTGTTCATCCTACTGATTTGAAATTGGAAAAATTGTAGTAAGAAAAGTTATAAAGTAAAGGAGAAGTCTTCATCAAAAACACGCGTCATAAGAATTATTTTTAGACGCAAGTTTCTTCGTTGTTTGTTTATGCATAATTAATGGTAATTTGTTTTAACTAGAGATCTGCAAAAGTATTTTATATTATATTTTCATTATTTATTCTAGGATTTAGCAAATGAACACGTTTGCATAACTACATACAGTAGGTGGCCAAATTATTATACTCAAACAAAAATTCATCACAATCCGTGAAACTGGGGGCTGTAATTAACTAATTATTGCAAGAATGTTATTGTTTTTAATTTACTGCAAAGCTACTATTCTGGCAAGCCTTTAATTAATATGGCAACACATTATTGGTATTTTTTTTTGAAAATGCGGTCGCTAATGTCAGTGCATGTCAAAATTGTTCTATGCTGGTCTGTGAGAAGTATTCGTTAGGTATGTCTTGAATTCAGTGTTTTCGACTTACATATTCGGTAAGTGTTAAATATTTTTACATTTGGAATTATTTTAATATTTGATCTTATTGTTATGTTTTTGTTCGTATAGAATTTTTGAGGTGTTAACGAACCTAACCTAAAAATGTGTATTTAACAGATATGGGGAAGTGTGCTGATCTCACACCAAGAAAAAGGCACAGATTTCGACGATCTTACGGCATTTTCAATATACCCAGCGTTGTATAGCTGATTTGGTTGATGTATCACAGTCCAGTGTGCGTAAAATCAAGAAAAAACGACGCTGAAGTACCCATCACGGTGGGTCGAGTCGGTAAATGTAGTCGAAAACTCATTAAAACACCTCGAACTGACCGTGAAATACGTCGCATTACACTTGAAAAACTTCGGCGGTTTTCAAGTGTAATGCGACCAACCATGTGTGACCATGTGTGAGCCAAGAATCGTCTGTAGAGATGGGGCTAAAATGTTCGACCACTGAAAAAACCAAAACTTACTCCTGCCATGAAGCTCAAATGTCTGGCCTGGGCCAAGGAGCATCGACACTGGATATAGGAAGACGAGCAAAGTTGAATATCCCTAATACACATTTAGTTTGTTTCTTTATAAAATTAAACATAAGCTATATTTTGCAGGTCTGTTTTCCGGACGAGTCGTCAATACAGATTCTTCAGGATAAAACTGAGTTTGTTCGGCGAAGAACTCATGAAAAATTAAATGAAGACTGGATTGTGGAACGTGTCAAGCATCCCATTTCAGTGATTATATGGTGCGTCATTAGCAGTAAATGGATTAGCAGGCTGTATATCGTACAAGGAACGGTAGGTCATGATCAGTATAAAAAAGTTCTGGAGGAAAAACTGATCCCACAGACAGCAGAATGGTTCCCTAATGCCAATTTTATATTCATGCACGACTCCGCCCCTGCCATAAAGCCAAATCTGTCACACAATACCTGCAAAACAATCAGATTAACATCCTGGACTGGCCGGGAAACTCACCCGACTTGAATCCTATAGAAAATGTGTGGGCAGTCCTAAGAACTGAAATCTCAAGGAATAAAATTATAACCAACAAAAGAGAACTAATTGAGAACATCATCAAAGTCTGGCACAAACACTTCAAAGCTTCAAGAAGTAGCCATATCCTGCATTGGGAGCATGGCACGCCGTGTTCAAGCCATCATAAAAGTTAAGGGCGGAATAACAAAATACTGTTATAAATATATTTATCTTTCAATACACTATTAAACCTCTATAAAACAAGTTTACTTTTTATTCCTAATAACATTTAATAGTATTAAAAAATATAACTATAGAAACCATACGACTATTATACGTCATAGTTTAAGTTGACAAAATACAAAGAAATCGTTTTGAGCATAATAATTTGGCAACCCACTGTATGTTACTAGAGATGGGCCCTATTTGGATTTCTCCGAACACGAATATTCGGCCGAATGTTCGGTAAAACTTTTACCGAACCGAATATTCGGCCGAACATTATTCAGCAGGATCACCTCGGTACCTAACCAATTTATGTCAAAACTTGTTGCCATAGCGCGCGTGGGACTAGCGCCGGACCCTGTCCCTAGCTCTCCCGCCACACCTTACACGTTATTACATCATCAAGTACTGAGCAAATTGCCGGCACATTCTTATGTTTTGACTATTTTTGTGAGAAAAAAGTATTTCGTGTTGTTATTCTTAGTGAAAATTCCTTACTTAAGAGACGACCAAAGTAAAGTGAATTGTACTAATGTCGTTATGTAGTTCTTTGTTTGATTTTAAAAACATTTTATCACGCTTTCTATTTGCTATAATTGGAAATAAATCTACAATGCCTCAAAAACATAACGCTATACAAGTAGATTTAACCCACAAAAAAATATACTTTTAACAGTAAAATTATGAAAGACATGACATTACTCAATACGTACTAAAATGTACATCACAGTAGACACCTTGAGTACCACTTTAACGAATGTTCGGCGATTTAGCCGAATGTTCGGCCGAATACGAATATTCGATAAAACTGCCGAATACCGAATATAAAACGAATATTCGGCCCATCTCTATCTATATGTTACCCAGGTAAGAGCTAGTTTTAAGAACTACCCTGTTTAAAAGACCTTTTTTTTTTGTTTTATAGATAGAGGAAAAATGCACGGATCTCAACGAGTTATAACGTTTTGCCTACTGACTACAGTTTTGCCCACCACACTTATAGGGTCATCTTTATATTTACGAAATATAAGATATGCAGATGTTATGTATAAAATATCAGATTCAGATGTTATCCAAATTCATAAAGGGCAATCGTCAATATTTTGTGAAAAACATTCCTTAAAAATGAATAACACCTTTAATGCATTTCAAATGAAAGGTACACCTGAACTATCCAGCAAAAGGAGACATATTAAATTAAAGAAATCTATGATATTACCTGATGACACTTTAGAATATTGGGGATTTTTCCTGTTTGCTGGAGCAACAGTTGATTTAAAAGCTTGTTCTAGATATGAAGGTTCCAAAATATTAGTCGTTAAAGGCGAAAAAATACTTGATACTTGTGGAATACTAGATGGTAGAAAATACAAAAAGGACCCATCCTTAATAGATCCAGAACAAGTATCAGTAACGTTAGAAAATCCAAAGGGAAATAATAAACATACTACTGAGATTTCTCTGGATCACAAGAAAAAGTTAGATAAAGAACAAGTGTTCAGTAATTTGCGAGAAGATACAATGAATATAAATTTCAATAAAACCGTTTATAAAAGATCTGTTGGAAACCCACAATTGCATAATCCAAACACTGTGCTAGACACTGGGGTTTATCATGGTGGTAATGCAAACAATACTCCTTCCATAACAGAAGATGCTTCAATATCTAGTTTCGAAAATAATTTGCACGAGTGTTATCACGAAAACATACTTATGAATAATTTTTTCCCTTATTCTAAGGAATGTAATAGTACTAATTATTTGGAAAATACTACGACTTTAAAAGTTGAGCATAAAGTGCTGACCGATGGTTATTATTACTATATATTTTATAGTGACAACGATATGGTGAAAAATGATATTCACGTAATATTTGATATCTACAAACCAACATTCCAATATACAAATATGTCTGAATCAAAGGTATGTCTCAACAGTACAGAATGTGAATTTGATATAAGCATGTTTAGCGATGAATTAGTAATTGTGGAAGTGCCGACAACGGATGGTTTTAAAAATGATAATTCTTTTATTTTGACATCAGTATGTCGTCCACGTACTACAGTCTATATATTTTTCCCAGTATCGGTTTTGTTGTTAATACTTCTTTTTGCATTTTTATGACATTATTTTAAAATTTGGTCTTACTATTTACTTGTTAAACTGAATATTACCAGAAATGTGATATTAATTTATTAGAAACCTAGTTAAGATAGGCAATTAACCATAAATGTTAATGTATTTATTACATTGTTATTTACTTATAATATATTATTATTCATAAATTGTGTTTAAATCTTACTCAATTTGTTGTTTTATCAACCTTTACATTATTAGTAGATATTGGGCAAAACACCATAGGTAATTTAGTATTTCCGTAAGAAATTAGAAATATTTACAGTATTATGTAGCATTTTATTAAACTCATGTTACAATAATAATAAATAGTAAACAATAATAATTGTCTAACTGTTGGTATTCGATTCATAACTTTTGTTAAATGATTTGTTCTGAAAATTATTTTGTATTATTATTACTATTTTCTCTTAAAACAGTTCCAGTTTAAACCTTATAATAATCTGTAAAATAAGGAACCTTAATTATCAACGTCATTATACTTTGAACAAAATTTATTCCAAAAATATAAATAATTCGAATTGAACATAAAACCATGTAGAAAAACAAAATGCAAAAAGCAGTATGTATAGGGAAACAGGATACAAGGACCTGTCAAAAGAAAGTAATTTATTGAGGAAATTTTGATTTATTATTTCCACATAGTTGTGTCCAGTGTTCAACAGGCTGAGGTAGGTCTTCTGTAAACAAAATTTGTAAAAATGAGTAAATGCGCCACGAGAAATTTAGGTTCCGATCGGGAATGGAGTGCTACACTTTTAAAACAATAACAATACAGGTAATGTAATTTCATTTTATTTATTTACCGTTATTACAAAAACAGTTACCATATTATTATGTACAACTCGAAAAAAAGTTACAATATATTATTTCCTTCTACTGCTCTTGTGATTGAAATAGCCTCTCCAGTACCCGATGAGACCTCTCTGCAAACGACAGAGAGGCCTACGCGGAACGGGGGCCATCCGGCCGTGCCGGTCTTATTACTAGGTTTATTAAACTTATATTGATACGTCTATAGTATAATGTATTCATTAATAAAACTAAAACAGATATATCGGTCCAAATGAGTTCCAATAAAAAAATCAACACAGTGGTACTTAGGAGGCCACTCCTAATACTCACACCGTATAAATATCGCAATAGAATGCAGGACACAAAGTATAAACCGGAATGCACAGGCACCTCAGATGAGGTTGGCCACATCATTGGGCATTTCCGTGATAGTTGTATGGTAGAAGTCCTCAATATCCTTCAATGCTCTCTTGTCAGCTTCAGTTACAAAATTAATTGCAATTCCTTTACGGCCGAAACGACCACCTCTTCCAATCCTAGAATAAAATAAGTTGTAATATAAATTTCTGTAATAAAAATTCCTTTTAATATTCAAAACAAAGTTATTGAAGGTTTTACCGATGGATGTAGTTTTCACGATTAGTAGGCAAATCATAATTAATGACGCAAGATACTTGTTGTACGTCAATTCCACGTGCTAGTAAATCGGTAGTAATAAGCACACGAGAAGAGCCTGTACGGAACTGCCTCATGATAACCTCACGCTCACGTTGGTCCATGTCGCCGTGCATGGCAGATACAGTAAAATCGCGTTGATGCATAGACTCTGTGAGCCAGTCGACCTGAAAAAGTCGAGACCACAATTAATTATTAATATATTATTATACTATTAATATTAAACTTAGTAGATAACCAGTCATTTCATAAATCAAAATGCAGTAGCGTTGTAACCTCCATCCTTTGGGGATCAAGATTTACACAATTTATTCAAAAGAATATTTCTTATTATATTTCTTAAATTGTACGAAAAGTATGTTACGAAATATTACCACACATCTGATAAGTTTGTGATGGACTGGAAATTTTTTCGATGGTTTGTTTAAAGGATCGAAACTTTCTATTTAAGCTAGTAGAGAGTTCTTTGAAAAGATTTTATTATAAAAATGTATTATTTTTGTCTAATTACAAGCGATTCGCCCCGGCATCACACGGGTGATTTCTGGATCTCGACAACAGTGCAGCCTACCAGGTCCAAATGTAAATCGAAATTATCTAGGGATCTATTAAAACACAGTTATTTCAGTTTTTGAGTTTTAGCGAGACCACCTGCATCAATTGACTTTTATATATTGGATGATTTTCTATTACCATCTGAAAAACAGTAACAGGTATACAGAAATAGAAGGCTATGGGCACTGATATTTAACAATTTTTCTGCTTTTACATTAACATATTATGAAATTGAACTATCAATAAATACCAATAATTTTAAATAAACTTTCGGTAATAAAAATAAAAACAAAAATTGTAAACTAAATAAATAAATCGAAAAATTATAAATAAAAACTATCGAAATTAAAATAATATGCACCCAACTAGTAGTATTTATTGATAGATCAACTGCATAATACTTATGTTAAAGTATTTATTGATAGATCAATTTCATATGTTAATGTAAAAAAAAAAATTGTAAAATATCAGTGCCATAGGCTTCTATTCCATTCAACCTGTTATTTTATTATGCTCAACAATACCAACTAAATGTCGGGTCGGCTCGAAAAACACGTCTCAGTAAATAAGAGCGCACGTCCGAAGAGAGGGGGGAGGACACGTTGATTATCGAATCCGGCAACTTGTTCAATCACCGGGAGGGCGACCAATCTGTCCCAAGGAGGTGTTGGATTTATCGTCCACAAGTCTCTCGTTAACAACAAAGATAGGGAGTGTGTTGACGAGGGTTGCGTACCTTATACTCAGAATCACCAAACGGTATTCGCTGAAGGTCATACAGGTACGCACCAATGTCGGAACATAACCGATGAGGTGGAGGAAATGTGTATGAGGATATTTCTAGAGCCATGCATTCTTCCAAAACTCACTATACAGTGGTAATAGGAGACTTCAATGCAAAAATAGGCACAAGAAAGAACGGTGAGTTGAAGGTAGGGGAAATTGGGGATAGGGCAACTGAACCCAAGGGGCCAGCAGCTGGCAGACTTCAAGGATAAAGAGGGACTCTTTATGATGAACTTTTTCCTCCAGAAGAGGGCCCCACAGAAAGTGGACCTGATCGAGCCCCAACTGTTTGACAAAAAAATGAGATTGACTTCATTATGATGACTAGATGGCAACTGTTCGGTGAAGTCTCAGTGATCGCAAGGGTGAAAACTGGTAGCGATCACCGAATAGTTAGAGGCACACTGTATCTAAACATTAAGTTGGATAGGTCTCGTTTAATGAAGTCAATGCTCCGTCCTCCTTGTGCTCTAATCCAAAATCCCAAAACCTTTTGGCTCAAGTTACAAAACCGCTTTCAGTGCCTAGAAGATTGCAATGCAGTGGACAATATGAATTCCAAGCTTGTGGAAACTGTACATGCGGTCGGAGATAAGTTCTGCAAGACCCGCCGCAAATGAACACAAAAACTCTCCAATCACACTCTTAATCTCATGGCTGTTAGACGGGAGATGAAGCTGCAATCGTCAACAGATTTGACAGCATACAGGCTACGGAACAGACAGATCTCCAAATGCATGCGGCGAGACTTACGCAACTTTAATACTGCTCGTATTAAAGAAGCGATCGAGCGGAACCAGGCCTCCAAAGTCTTTGCCAGAGATCTGTCTGCCAGAAAGAGCCAACTGTCAAAGCTGAAGACTGAGTGTGGCAGCATCGTTTCCGGGGCACCTGAGATTTTGAGTGAGATTGAGAGGTTCTATGGGCAGCTGTACACATCATCGTTGGAGCCACACCCAAGTGTGAGTAACGATCCAAGAGCAAGTCTTATCCGACACTATTCCGATGATATCCCGGACATTAGTCTGAGCGAAATTAGAATGGCTCTCCAGCACCTTAAAAACGGCAGGGCCCCAGGCGAAGATGGAATTACAGCGGAGCTACTGAAAGCGGGTGAAACACCGGTACTTAGTCCTTCAGAAGCTCTTCAATTCCATCCTCCATGGTGGCGCTACTCCGGAGGCGTGGAGCAGAAGTGCGATGGTCTTGTTCTTCAAGAAAGGCGACAACGCTCTCTTGAAGAACTACAGACCGCTTTCCCTTCTGAGCCGCGTCTACGTGTTGTATTCGAGAGTCATTACGAATCGTCTTTCACGCAGACTCGACTACTTCAAGCCTCCAAAACAAGCAGGTTTCCAAAAAGGCTTCAGTACCATAGACCACATACATACCCTGCGGCAGATTGTACAGAAGACTGAAGAGTACAATCTGCCACTTTGCCTGGCGTATGTGGACTATGAGCAAGCCTTTGATTCCGTCTTAATTTGGGCGGTGCTACAGTCCCTTCAGCGGTGCCAAGTTGACTGTCGGTATATCGAAGTGCTGAAGTGTTTGTACAGTAGGGCTACGATGGCTATCCGAGAGCAGAGTTCGAAACCTATCCAACTGCAGAGAGGTGTAAAACAGGGTGAAGTTATTTCCCCGAAACTCTTCACCGCTGCATTGGAAGACGTTTTCAAGCTACTGGACTGGAAAGGATGCGGATATTAATATTAATGGCGAGTACATCACTCATCTTTGATTTGCCGACGATATAGTCCTTATGGCAGAATCATTGGAGGACCTAAGCACTATGCTCAATGACCTCAATGGTATCTCCCAACGGATAGGTCTTAAGATGAACATGGACAAAAGAAAGATCATGTTTAATGTCCATGTCACACATATGCCGGTAGTTGTTGTAAGCACTTTGCTCAAAGTTGTTGACGAGTATGTTTTTCTGGGACAAATAGTCCGACTAGGTAAGTCAAACTTCGACCGAGGGGTCAATCAACGGATTCGACTCAGGTGGGCAGCGTTCGTGAAATTACGACATATCTTCTTGTTAGGTATACCTCAAACTGAAAACTAGATTGTACAACCAGTGAGTGTTGCCAGTGATGACTTACGGATCTGAGACGTGGTCCTTCACTGCTGATCGTATGAGGACGCTCAAGGTTGCTCAGAGAGCTATAGAG